CTCAATGCCCCAATAGTATGACGGAGGGTATCTGCATACCATTTACGATAGTTCGGGGGTATATTTGTCCTTTTTTCATAGAACTAACAAGCACTCAAATCAAGATCTAATAATACAGGTCGCAATTCAATGGACATTGCATGCTAGGAAGACCGATGATTTACTAGCAATCAAACTCAGAGGCTATTTGATTTTAATCACCTTTTGAGGGAAAAAGTAGTATTAGCAATAATTGAAGAAATTAATGTAGTCCTAAACCTCCCGTAAGCTCAAACTTTCCAGAAGCTAGACAGTAATAAATTCTGAAATTGTGTTTTTTCCAGAGAAACTGTCAAGATATGCATTATAAACTACTAATCAAACAAGTGAATGCAAGGACAACAAGAGCATTTTCCTATGCTGATCCTCCATTCTCATATTTTTCTCACCAACTAAACTAGCTACACATGTTGAATGCTGACAGCTGGGTAACCAGATTGAAGAAACAGAAAGAATGTTGGAAATTCCTCAGTATACACAAACGACCTGATAATATTAAAAGTAAAACAGTCACCTCAAGGTGGGATACTCAGCATCTGCTGAAGACTCTGCTGCATCCTCTCCAGATTCAGGTTTCTGAAGATTACGTGGATCAGATGACAGTGGATGTGTTTGGGGAGGTGGGAGCGCAAGTGGTGTTCTCTGAGGGAATACTGCTCCAAGGCGCTGAAAGTCAAGCAATACATTTCAAAACATTTCTATGAAGTGAGGTGTCAAACAAGCATATAGAAAGTACATATCATAGCAATGGGCATGGACAAAATCTAAGTTCAGCAAGTAAAACCAAGCATTTGGTTTGGCAATTTAGCAACCAATTATCAATAGGTATATTTAATTACTATTGGTTGGACAGGTACTTGGTTCTCTTCATGGTGATTCATATAAGGTCCGAATAACTTACTTCAGGAAAAGAGAATGTTTACCCTCCAAGTTGCCCCTATTGCTTATTTTGTTACTGCTCAACTTACTCTCCAAAGAACTTTCACTGATCCAATGCACTGAAAGTCAAGAAATGCATTTGCAAAACATTTTCTATAAATTGAGGTATCAAAGCCCTCTTTCAAAAAAAATTGAAGTGTCAAACAAGTATATAGAAATTATAATCATAACAACTGGGCATGGACAAACTCCAAGCACTGGTATAAATTCAGTCAGTACAATCAAGCATTTAGTTTTGCAATTTTAGCAACCAACACTCGACATCAACTGGTATAAACCAGTAGATTTGTTTGAATAGGTTCTCGCTTCTCTTTACAAAACAATTCATATAAAAGGCTCCAGAATAACTTACTTAAGGAGAGAACTTTTAATCTCCAAGTAAACCCTATAGCTTATATAGTTTCTGCTTAGGTGATAAGTTAAGAAACTGAACTTCTATGGCTGGAGCCAGGTGACTTGTCACAAACCCAAATAATACCAACCCCTAATAGCGATGAAAAATAACTTCAAATAAACACATAATAGAAGAGTAAAATAACAGCATTTCACTCTCACCAACAACTCTTGGTAGGCTCCATAATATTGAGGGTATCTTGCCCTTGGTCCTCCAAAAGCTTCTTGCCAAGTGTCAATCGAAACTAATATCTTTTCCTTGACATGAAAGTCGGGCTGCAATTGCAAAATAGTACAAGATTGATGCCTGTACTTTATGAAGGGGAAGGATTCCAAAATAACATAAGGGAGGTTCAGAGTCTGTAATCACCTTCTTCTTTACCATTTTCACCATCTGATGAAGAAGACCTTTCTCAGCGACGTGCATATGCACAATGTCTCCACAATTCTTCACAATTGCTTCCAAAAGCTGAAGAATGACAACATTCGGGTTAAGCGTGTGGCAAGTCAATTTTCTATTTGGCAAGCCAAGCAAAGAGAATACCATAATTCTCAAGGCACATCATAAACCCTTACAAAATTGAAGCAATATAAGCAAATCAATACATATCCAATCACCCAATTTATTTATTAATTTAAGATTAATCAAACATTTTTCATTGCAGATACACCAAGGTGAACATTTTGATCTGATATTGTGGCTCGACCACGATCATCCAAACAAACCCCAACTACCTAAAAACAGAAGACTCTTTACACCAAAACATACATAAAATAAAGAGGATCTTTTGATCTTGTTACGTCATTCTCATTATTTGGCATGTCCTCTACTGCTTTCTTTCCAAATAAGACGATAGAGACATAATATCTTCTTTAGTATCCAACGCAACGTTACTTCATTCAGCATTGTCGTTAATGCCCAAACATTATTCTCGGTGTCCACTGATTGGGAGGAGATGGTACAAGATGTGTAACAAGTTCAACTGCTCAGGTTGACCTCAGATCATTCACCAATTATGCTAGATGGAAGTAGAAGGAAAAGCTTACGGATTTCGTTCAGGTTCGAGAATATGTGGCTCTAAACTCCATGATTTGAAGATAGAGTGTATGCTTGGTGGAATGGGTAAATTACTGGCACACCATCATTCCAACTTCCTAGCAAGTTGAAAATGTTAAAAGGAGATGTAAGGAAGTGAATAAGGAGGTGTTTGGGAGGATGGAAGTTAAAATGAGGGAGCAAATAAATGAGGTGGGACATATTGAGCATGTGGAAGGGATGAGTTAGAAGAGAAGGAGAGAGTTAGGAAGGAGGAGGCAAAGGTGGAGCTTGCTGCTTTTGTGGCCGCTCAAGAGACTAGTTGGAGGCAAAAATTGAGGGTATTGTATTGAAGGAGGGGGATTGGAACACAAAATTCTTCATAGGGTGGCGGTAGAAAATAGGATAAGGAACTTCATTGAGTCGTTAGAGGTTAATGGGGAGGTGTTTGATGGGGAGGAGGAAGCAAAGGGGGCCATTGTAGGGCATTAAGAAGATTTGTTTAAGGAAGATGTCGAGTGGAGACAAAATTGGGGGGCTAGTATTTAGTCAAATAGGGGAGGGAATGAGGGAGTGGTTGGAAAGGGCTATAGAAGAAGAAGAGGTGAGAGAAACGGTGACAAGATGTGCAGGGACAAGGCTTCGGGACCGGACTTTTCTTTTCCAACACTGTTGGAGTATAGACAAAAGTGAGTTGTTACAAACCATTGCAGAACTCCAAGAAACAGCGGAGTTTGAAAGAAGTCTTAATGCATACTTTGTTACTATTGTGCCAAAGAAGGAAGGTGTGACAAGCATAAAAAGACTTTAGACCTATTAGTCTAGCATTTACAAGATTATATCTAAGGTGCTTTCTAATAGACTAAAAAAGGCTCTGGATGAGATGGTGTCCACTTCTTAGAATGTGTTTGTGTGAGGAAGACAGATATTGGATGCAGCTTTGGTGGCAAATGAAGTGGTTGATTCCAGAAAGAAAAAAAGTGAGCCAGGAATTTTATGTAAGTTGGATCTTGAGAAAGCTTACAATCATGGGAATAGGGCTTTTCTGGATTCTATGATGTTGATGATGGGACAAGTGGAGGAGATGGATCAAGTTTTGAGGGCTAGATTTTGTATTGGAGAATGGGAGTCTTTGTAGCTTCTTTGGGAGCTCGAGGGGCTTGAGACATGGGACCATTTATCCCCTATGCTCTTTATCTTGGTGAAGGAAGTTTTGAGCAATATGATGGATAGGCCGGTCAGTGGAGGGCTATTGAAGGGTTTTGATGCGGTTATCAGAGGGCTTAGCAATGTGACAGTTACTCATTCATTATTTGCAGATGACATGTTGGTTTTTTGTGATGCAGATGTGTTCCGGCTAGCTCATTTGAGACTATTTTTATTTGATTCCAGGTTGTGTCAGGCCTTAAGATCAACCTCAGAAAATGTGAGATCACACCGATGGAAGTAGTGGATAATATTGAGAGATGGCAGAAGTGTTGAATTGCAAGGTGGGTACTCTACCTACTAGCTATCTAGGCTTGCCTTTGGGTGCTTCAAGTAGAGACCTCTTACAAAAGGTAACCTAAAATAAAGGAGACCAATCCAAAGGAAACCCTTTAACCAGAATGGAACTGCCAGCTTCTTGTAAACCATTCATCGAACATATCCCTCGTTCCCATCACTCTACCAAATCTCCCACTTGGAAATTCTTTTGTAATCTCAATTTGTTCTCAATTTCCTTGATTGAAACACAGAGTCATAATATCTTCCCAAATTCTTGGTTCTACAGTTCGAAGTTTATCTTCCTTTTTTACTTTGATATGGTAAATTCTTGGTTCTACAGTTCGAAGTTTATCTTCACAGGGTATGTTGTGGTTTCGAAGTTCATCTCCGGCAATTTTGTTTCATCTCTGTATAACTTTATTGTGTGTTGAACCATCTCTTTCATGAAAACAAGTAGAGAAAAATATCTGTGGGGGATTAGCTTTTCTGGGGACACCAAAGATTACAAAAGATTGCCACAAAAGACACAAGATAAAACTTGATCTGAGAACTTTGGGAATTAAAACAAATACGAGAAAAGAACACTTTAAGCTGGGAATTTCTTTTAGTTTACAATTTAAGTGGACCAAAGCATAAACTGTGTTCAAAAGTTACAGAAAGAAGATGCTAGAGGGAAAATGTTTTATGACCTACTAGCTTTTCTTTGTACCAAGCACCATATTCTGTACCACAATATGAATGTCTTATACAGTTTTAAATGGCTGTTTCCATTTGGACATCCTTTTTTCTTTTCTTTTTTTCCTTTTTTATTTCCAAAAAAAAAGGTTGCCATTGGAACATCCATATCTTCATGCAGTTTCTTCTTCTAATAAGTTTCTTCATGAAGATTGCCTTGTCAACCAGAAATATCAGGAAAGTACTAAGCAGATATGTAACTAATAAACAGGCAATTTGTATCTAAGAACTGCATTGACATATGTCACTTGAGAGAGTAACAATTGAACACATATAATTGACTAGAATAAGTTCCGCAATTAATGCATATGCATATTTTGCAGAAAGTTCTTACTGTTTCTCCCACCTAATTCTCTGTGACGCTATTTTTAACAAACAAAGACTTTTGACACAGGCTAAATATATGCAAAAGTACCAAAATTTTACAACAAACAATTAAATCTGGCAAGAGTTCTACACGTCCCTTCAAATTTTTCGATAAGATACAGGCTCCTTCATCTTTATCTCTCCAAATTAAAAATCAGCTCTTATATCAACTGGTATTCCAACAAGTTATGTCAGAAAGGTAACCCTCAGGGGTTGGCCTGCTGGCAATTGACTTGAGCCTTGGGGTTTGCTCCCTTTCAAGGTCTCAAGTTCGAAACCCACTGGGTGCAAACAATTTCTGAGGGCCATCAGACTGGGTAAAACCTGAATTAACCGTGGTGCACTTGCGGGAAACTCCTTGCCGAGGGCCTGTGCACCCCCGGGATTAGTCGGGGCTCAAAGAGACTCGGACACCCGGTGCAAATCAAAAAAAAAAAAGAAAGGTTGAAATGCAAATGTTAAGATTGAATAGTTCCCAAATACAGGAAGATATCAATCTCTTTGGACGGAATTAAAAGGAATGATTATCACATAATAAAACGTTTTTAAAAATAATAGTATGTTAAGAATCTCTTAATCAAAATGAAAACAGATATTACAGAGGAGATAGTTAGATGAAAGTACGGTACATTGGATAAACCAAAACAATTAACAATCTAGCAGTAGGATACTTTCAATTAATAATAGGAAAATTGGTGCACCCATGATACAATATGTTGAAGAGAAAACAATACTCTATGCTGTTAGAGTTTTATTAGTAGCATTGAGAGCATATTGCTTCATATTATATCAGTACTTTAATAGTTTTTGAAATTGGTAACATAATGGTATAATGGACTATCAGTACTTTAATAGTCCTCCAGTATAATGGTATTTCTGTTGTTGCTAATAGTAAAGGAGAAATAGTGAACATAAAAAGAAGGAGAAAAGGTAGGAATTGTACAAAATGACTGTAGATGAAATCTTTGCTCAAGACTCCCATTCAAAAAAAAAGAAAAGGAAAACCAACAAAAAAGATGGAGGGTAAGGAATTGATAATACATTCAGTTCAAGCAAGTATTGAATTGTGGGATTTAATTTGTTGACAAGGTACAAGTGTCGACAGAAATAGTTAAGGTATTATGGAATTTAATATTTTCAAAAGCTTACAGTCAGGGCGAGTAGCTGGACTTTTGATCTCCTACTGCCAAGACGCTTTTTTATTCCTTTCACAACATCTTTCGCTTGCCTGGGGAACAAAAATTAAGCAAATAATAAGAACTACCTTCACCAATCTTCAGTCCAAACAAAAGCAAACACCTCAATGATTATGCCAATTATTTAAAAATTGAAAAACATAAGAAAAAGGGAGATTACGTTGAGGCTAGAAGAACCTCAGTTCTTAATTTTACTTAGATAAAAAACTCATATAATTAGTTCAGATCATCCACAAATGATCGACTTGCTGGAGAGACTTGATGGCAATATATTGTTAGGTAAGCACATGATTAGTGATCCACTTCACTAATAAAAATCTGCCAAAAGTAAATTATATACCCTGTTTTCCTGCACCAGCGCCATTGTTTCCTTTTGGTCAAACATCTCAACGAAAAGACCAACATGAAATGGCCTCAGAGATAGCTTCTTCCACAGGAAATGTGAAGTTTGCATGTTCAAGATGATTATAGCCCGATAAATGATGAATCTAGGTATCAAACAACTATAAAATTCCATTATTTACTTGTATATTTTCACCACCAAAAAAGGAGAGGAGTTATCTTCTCTTCCTTAACAACTTTTAATCCCAAAAGAAAGGCTCTATTCATGACAGTGTTATACTCACTTTGTTCCAATTTATGTCTTTCTTTCCTTTTTAGCTATTTAAATTATGTGTCTTACTTTTCTTTTTAGTCTAAGAATGTCATTTTCTATATTTAGTAACTCTTAATTCCAACACCTCACATGGAATGTTTAAGACCGCAAAATTCAAAGGGCATTATGGTGCATTATACACATCTTTAGTTTAAGACCACAAGAATCAAAGATCTTCCATAATCTCTAAAACCTATGTTGCTCGGACTCTTCAAAAATGTCAACGGGTGCGTGTCGGATTCGCCAAATGTAGTGTATTTTTGGAGAATCCGACACAGGTGCGGCATCAAAAGTGAAGAGTCCGCGCAACTAAGTCTAAAACTCCGTACCTAGTCAACTGGAGAAAAAGCTTCTTGTATCTAGTTAATGAAGTGCCAAATATGGAAAAATTGAAGTTAATTTTTGGTGGTGAAGTGGGTGCTCTTCCAACTACTTATTTGGGTAGCCTTTAGGGGTCAAATCCACGTCTTTGGAAATTTGGAATGGGGTGATTGAGAAGTGTGAGATGAAACTAGCAAGGTGGAAGTCTCAGTACCTCTCACTTGGAGGAAGACTAACTTTGATCAACTTTGTGCTTGATGCACTTCCAACATATATGATGCCTTTATTTCCTACTCCTCCAGGTGTCATTAATAAGTTGGATAGCATCGGGAGAAAGTTTTTGTGGCAAGGAAACAAGGAAAGGAAGGGGTACCACTTAGTCAAAATGGAAAAAAGTGATCAATGATAAGAGAGTTGGGGTTTAGGGATCAAAAACCTTAAGAATCAAAGCAATGCTTTGAGAATGAAGTGGCTTTGGAGGTACTCCAACGATGATCAGAATTTATGGGGCTCAGTCATAAAAGCAAAATATGAAGAAAGTGACAATTGGATGACAAAGGAAGTTACCACTCCCTATGGTGTTAGTTTATGGAAATCCATCCGATCACTTTGGGATGAATTCAAACAAAACACCAAGATTAAAGTGGTAGATGGTGCTAAAACTAGATTCTGGAAGGAGGATTCGCATGAAGCAGGAAATCTGGAGACACTTTTCCCGGACATACATACTCTGGTTCTTCAGCAACAAAATACAATAGCTGAACTATGGACACCTCATGGGTGAAATATTATATTTAGAAGGCACCTCAATGATTGGGAAATTCCAAGAGTTACAAAATTCTTCAGCGTCATTGAACAATTTGGTGGCTTGGAGATAGGGAAAGACAGATTGCAGTGGTTGGGGAACAGTACTGGGACTTTTAAAGTAAATGCAGCATATAGGAAGTTGAACCACCCAATTATGCAGGCATCCAAATGGCCCTGGAAACACATTTGGAAGGCCAAGATCCCACACAAAGTGGCCTGTTTTGTGTGGTTACTGGCTAAGGAAGTGGTGTTGGCACAGGAGAATTTGATGAAGAGGGGGGATTACACTGTGTTCAAGATGTTTTTTTGTGGGGAAACTGCAGAAACAGTCAAGCACTTGTTCATCCAGTGCAAGGTCATTGGCCAATTGTGGAGTCTATTCTTAAGGCTCAAAAACATCTCATGGGTCATGCCTGGTAGAATTGCAGAGGCCTTATGCAGTTGGGAAGAAGCAGGATTACAAGCAAAGAACAGAAGCAACTGGAGAGTCATTCCTGCTACTATTTGGTGGACTGTCTGGAAAGAGAGAAATCTTAGAGTTTTTGAGAATAGGGAGAGTAATATGCCACAAGTAAAATTGAATTGTATTCTAACTTTGTGTTTTTGGTGTAATCAGATCTACTCTAATGACACTGTCTCTATCATTGATGTTTTAGACTCATTATAGGGATAGGACAGTGCCTTTAGAGTTCATTATGTAAATATGGTTTCAGTACAACCCATGTAGTTGTACTGATTTAAAGAAATAGAAACAGTTACCAATCTCAAAAAAAAAACAATAAAAAGAAAAGATAAAAAGCAACATAAATAAATGAAGAACAGCCAAGGGTACTCCTCTAGAGCCTATTTGGACAATTTGGAGAATAGGAAATAGGAGAACTTTTGAAAGGACGAGAAACTCCTTGCACGAATTAGGAGGTCTTTCTTGTTCCTGTTACTTTTTTCTGCACCTATGAGATTCAATGTAGCATTGATCATCGGGTGCTTTTTGTAGAGAATCACTAGCTTGTTTAGATTCTTTTCTTTTGCCTACCACTTGTGGCAAATTAGTAAAACTATTACTTTATAACAAATAGGCACTAAGACTTGTCATTCTGCTCTCTAATGAAACATATACTGTTCAAGCACATTTTGCCTGCATGAGGTGATACACAAAGAAAAGCAGCACGGTTAACCAGTCTTATATTACCCAATAAATTGTCTGTCCTAGTCATACCAAGCATGAAACTGAAACACACTTAAAAGTTATGCATTAGCAAGAATAAATAAGGAAAACTCACTTGCTTAATTCTCATTAAGCTAGGACTCTTCAAGCCACACACAGATAACATCACTGTTAATTAGTATCAATAAGGTGCTGCAATGATAGCTCAGCTATTTCCTTTTTAGTTTCTTCTCATTTAAAGAAAAATTACTTTTACCAACTTATTCATGAATTCTGATTCCTTCTAAATCCTATCTTCCAGTTCCCACCAAAACAGTGTGTAGCGAGCGGGGCATGGCACAACAATGACCTCAAGTGTAATACTCCCTCCCTTTCAGTTTATGTAACATATTTTCTTTGTTCATCTGTTTCAAAAAGAATGTCACCTTTCTTTATTTAGTAGTCTTTATTTCCAACATTCTCATTTTACCTTTATTCTCTTAATGACACTCTTTTGGTGGCCAGAGTTATGCAGCACCTGTGTTGGTGGGAGGTAGCAGGTACTTGATGAAATTAGTCGAGGTGCATGCAAGCTGTCCCAGACACCACCCATAAAAAAAGAAGATTTGAAAACCACCTTCGCATTATTAAAATTAGGCTCACTTAAATTAACACACAAAATGAAACGAAGGGAGTGGTATATGAAGATGCAAACCTAGTTTTTGAACTCAACCTATATAGTCCAGCACAGTCCCATAATCACAAGAAGATAATATTACCATCAATCAATCAACTATGCATTGTAAAGTGACTGAGAAACTATCCATGCCAAGGAATACTACAGATGTTCTAGCATGTTGGAATAGAGATGAAAATCACTCAAGACACAAGGAGATATGAAAGATTGTCCCGGCCTACATCTAGTGGACAATATGGAGGGAGAGAAATCAGAGATTTTTTGACAAAAGCATTCCCTTCCAAAGCCTAAAAATGAACTGTTAAGTGACCTTTTTACTTTTGGTGTATCCATACTGCACCGAAGGATCAGGGGATATTAGCCCTATTTTTAGATAGTTTTGAAGGGAGATAGGTGATAGATCTCTTTTTTGTCTGTCCCTTTACACTTTTGATGTAATTACTTCAGAAGTACACTAATGGTGTATTTCTCTGTTTGTAATACTAGTTAACTTTCTCAAAAAAGAAAATCAATCAACAATGCATCAATCCATAATTAGTAGGATCAACTTTATCAATCCTATATATCCATTCCGGTTTTGAGGTCACTTCATTCCAATGCTAGCAAAAAAATCTCGCAAGGTTCTATAATTCACCCCCAATTCAAACTAGCTAGAATTGACTATATAAACCGTATCCATTCCACTCTATTCAGCTCCATTCCTTTGCGAAAGCGGCAACTAATTGTTCTTACAAGACATTCTTTATCACCCGTTTTTAATGGTTTTGTAAAAAATTAATTTACATGTATCTCAATTATTTCACCAATTATGTGCATTCTCCTGCAAGTACAAGACCAAAGGGCTCTGTCCACTTAGACTTTGGAAAATGAGAAGAAATCACCTACTACTGCCAAGAATCAAATCTTTGTCTCTCATGGTTTTCGTTTCATCTTCATCAAAAGTAGGCTAAGTTTTTCTTTTTCGGATAACAGAGAAATCTCTTGTTCTTTCAGACTCTCTTTTTTTAAAAGGTGAATGTTTTTATATCTTGTTCTTCCCGACTCTTCTCGACCTTGAGATCAAGTGTTAGACTAATTAAGGGTTCCCTAAAACCAGAAGTTCTCTAAATCTCACACTTAAAACTACATTGACAACAAGCTTCTGCTGTAAGTTAAAAAATTACAAATTACATTTGCAAACGTTCAAAACAACTCACCAAAACGAAATAATAAACAACAAAATTTACAAACAAAAATAGAGAAAGAGAAAAGAAAAGAAGTTACTTTTTTCGAAAACTAAAGGTAAAATTAATTAATTTATTTTTTTATGACAAGGGAAACCCGCAACCGCTACCCTTGGGTGCGCACAGGGTAAAAACCCCCCTCTCCTATGCAATAGCTCACAAACCACATAGGAGAGGTAACCCGCACTAGGCAATCCCGGTGCGACGAGCTTGACCCAGAAGGCAAACCCCTTGTTTTTGCTGGCAAGGGGTTTCGAACTTGAGACCTCCAACATGGAAGTCCCAAGCCCAAACCACTGGGCCACCCCGAAGGGTTAAAGGTGCACTTAATTCTACACTAGTATAGTCCTATCTAACTAAAACCTACTACTATCAAAAGTTCAAACTTTTCAATTACAAACAAACTAAACAGAAAGCCAAATCATACTTCTAAATCAAATAGGCAATAGCAAAATCTCAGATAACAAAAATAGAGAAAAGATAATTTCTTATAAAACTAAAAGGTCTTTAAATCTCACACATATTGCAACACTGGCATCTAAATCTCTACTAATTACTACAGAAATCATACAACTTCTTCACTTACAAATATTCACAAAATTCAGCTCATAATCAAAAAAAGATAAAAGCAAAATTCTACATGCTAAAACAGAGGAGAAAAAATACTTTTCTAAACTAAAATTGACATACAGATTCCAGAAGCTAACCAGATACTACTACTGAAATTTACAGCTTTATCACAAATATTCAAAAAAAAAAAACATGCAAAAGGGGAAAGAATAAAAAGGAAAATGGAGAAGCATACGCTGGATCGCGACTGCATATATCGCAGATCTCGACATTCATCGCCCAATCAGGACCCATGAGCATATCGCTCGTCGCTCGTTCCACCAAAAAATTCACCATCCTATTACCGCCAGAAAAAAATCCGTCACCGATCAAACAATAAATTGATCGCCGGCGAACTCGAAATCTCCGGCGTCAAAAAAATCACCGGCGAGATTCCGAAAAAACGAATCAAATAATCGTCTCAAATCATATGATTCTCTCTTTCTCTCTCTCTATAGATTGCATTTTTCTTATGTTCTATTATGATCATAATAATTTTTTATTTTTTTTCATAAGCAAGAATAAAATAAAAAATCTAACCAATGGGAAGTGAACACGTGTATTGTATTTTAAAAAGATTTATGTTTTATCGGCTCCTATTAAATTCGAGAAAATGACATAGTCCCTATAATAATTATAGGAGTAGGTTTAAAATGGTCCATTAACTATACACTTAATGGATTTAGTCATTTAACTATTCGAAAATTTAACAACTTTAGTCCCTTAACTATACGCTTACCGATTTTAGTCCCTTAACTATAAACTTATTAATTTTAGTCCTTTGAGTATTCAAAAACTTATCAGGTTTGGTCTTTGTCCAATTTTTTTAATACAAATAGCTTAGATTTATATTAACCAAAATCTTTGTGAAATTAATTTTTTAACCCATTTTTTAAGTTGTTTCTCTATCCTCGTCCTTTTTACTTCAAACTACTCTTATGAAAAGAACAATAACGTCATTCAAAATAAAATTAATGAGGAAAGAAGATATAAGTTCTAATTTTATTCAATGGAGGATAAAATTAAGCACTTGAATATGCTAATCAGTGGGGATTTTATTTAATTTACTCAAATTTATTTATGTAAAATAAAATGAATAGAATAATAAAATTGATCTATTTAAAAAAATTAAAAAAATTACAAATCTACCATTTTATAAATTTCAATTTATGAAAAATTAAAAAAAAAAATGTTCAATGAAGTTGTTGGAGTATAACATTTGGATTTAACACGTAATAATTTTTTTTTCTTTTTATAATAAAATTTAACATATTGAAGTCATTAGTAGCAATAAAAATGCTTCATTTTATTCTCTATTGAATAAAACTATGACTTATATTTTCTTTCCTCGTGAATTTTATTTTAAATCGTTGAGGTTAAGGTTCTTCGCATAAGGTTAATTTGAAGAAAAAGTAGCGGAGAGAGAGAAACAACATAAAAAGTTGCTAAAAGATTTAATTTCTCGAGGCACGGATTATGTTAATATAAATCAAAGCTATTTGTATTAGTAAAAAATGGACAAAGACCAAACTTGATAAGTTTTTGAATACTTAAAGGACTAAAATCGGTAAGTTTATAGTTAAGGGATTAAAACCGGTAAGTGTATAGTTAAGGGACCAAAGCTGATAAGTTTTTGAATAGTTAAATGACTAAATCCGTTATGTGTATAGTTAAGGGACCTATTTAGACTTACTCATATAGTTAAGGGACTATTTATGTCATTTTCTCGACCAAATTCATATACCTATAAATTATAAGTAATAAGTTTTTAGTTAATTTAAATCCCAAATAGTTAGATTTACATTTATTCACAATCACGAGGTTCGCCATTCATTTCTAAAGTTCAAACTTGAGAGTTTTAGTTAAAAACAGAGAAATCTTAGCCATCCTGTCACCAGGGGAGCTACACTTGCTCGAAGGGGTCAAGCAACACCCCTTTGTTTAAAAATTATATTGTATAGATAGGTTAAAATTTAATTTTATAAATAAGTTAAATATATTTGAGACATCTTGATGTCAAATGACACAAGTTGAAGATTTGCGTAGTAGTTAAGGTATTGCAAAACTTTCTTAAGGTTTTATGTTCAATCTTAGCTAGTGACAAAATTAAATATTTTGACATTCCTCGATGAATATTCTAGTTCTGTCACTGTCCGCCACACATCATGGTGGTATTCTTTTAACATTTTTACTAAAAAAAAATTTGTAAGTTTTGATATGCATATTTATGATTTGTAAAAGTTATACATTTCATTGATATCTACATCATATTTTTAACTAATGCAGAAAACAAGAGTGGAATGTGAGAAAAATCAAACAGTTTTTGACCTTTGGCCATAATACAACTTTCATTCATATGAAGAGCCATTAGAAACCTTATTTTCCTAATTCCTATAAGACTTGATGAGTGAGATTATTCAATCTTTTATGAATATACTGTTTGAGCAAACGCTACTGAGTTCGGCCTCTGCTCATCAATAGGGAACGGGAACTCGCACCGTGGGAGGCCCTGACTTCATATCCTCCAAGAGAAGATTTAGCAGAGCTTGTGTCACAGGACCTTCTCTACCTACATTAAGGAGGAGGAAGAAACAGAAAGGAGATCAGAATACTATCAAGTAAAGAAGCCAAAATTTCATTTGTAACGTCTCGAACGATGTAAATTTATGTCACCCTTGCATAATTATATGAAAACTAGCTCCAACAGAACAAGGTTTAGATAGGACTTGTGTTTAGAAAGAGTGAACATATGTTGGTATCTACTGTCTGTCCCGTAGCCACATGCAGTTAAGGGTGGTCAGTTGAACACCCATGATGAACTATCTAGTCTTAGTTTGTCGAGCAGTACTTACGTTGGATCTATTAATCAAGAAAAGACCATTTCGTGCTCGAATGTTAAAATATCAGACTTTGAGCAAGCATATGAAACCAAAGCAAATGGAACAAGGGGCAACAGTGCATAGATAAATATTGTTTCGATGGCAGCAGAGAAATGCTTACCATTACCGATGACTTCTTCATCCCACTGCACCACTGAGCGTACAAGAACCCCACTACCAATTAGCATCATCTCATCTGCTCTTTTCGCGTCCTCTACAGACACATTCTCTACTCTAATACCCCGAAGTTTACCTTCCTTTACTAGATTTTCTGCAAGAACCACAACTCTTTTAGCTGTACAGCCACTGAGAATTTTGTCAAAACAAGGCATCAGAAAGTCCTTTTCCTTTGTAACAAAAGCCACGTTCATGTTCGGGCCTTCTGCAACAAAGCCATCGCCATCCAACCAAATTGCTGCATATGCATCATTTTCTTCTGCTTCCATCTTGGAAAGTGCATTCGGAAGATAATTAACACTTTTCATGACAGCAAACTGTGGGGGTTTAATCGGGATGGATGACGTTACAACTCTAATGCCCCTGTGGTCAGGAGGTGATTGATCTTTAATTACAATGGCATACAGAGTTGCTTGGTGACAGCCGGATGAAGATAGTTGAAAATCACCAGGTCCTGCCGAAAGCCAGTATCTTAAAGAACCTTCTCTGCACTTGGAAACACTTACTGTATGGATGAGAATCCGTCTAATGCTTTCCCTATCGAAAGGAATTTGTATTTTGGCCATGGTTGCAGATCCCAGGAAACGATCAAGGTGTTGGTCCAACTCATAAAGGTATCTGATGGTAGATAAGAAATAAGACAAATAAAGCAAAGTCCAAGAATCTCAACTATCTTTTAGCTTCTCATTCTTGTTCACAGTCATGTAGATTACAACTTAAGAGTTGTTCATCTAATTTAATACTATAAATCGACGTTTTCCCAACATGGAACGTAAGAGAAATATAATTAGTTCGACACTTTAGAGTTGCTCATAATCCTATGAAGGGAGGTTTTGCCCAACATAGAATGAAAGACAAGGGTTCAAGAGTAACTAGAAGAGCTAATTGAACAAAATTTGGCCAAGTTAGAGAGATATCTAAGTTTTAGTGTGTTCTATCTGCACGAAAATCAGACCTCACTATCTCAACTTACGAGTACGAAATACCACCGAATGTAGAGGAGTTTACATCACAATTTACATGTTGACAAATCTGAAATCCCCAAACAGCATATTTCTATGAAACACTGCAGGATAATAAATTGACTAGTCGAACTTTGCAATGAATTCATACGAAGACAAATTTTATCATAGGAAATACATGAGCATGGCCACTTGGATATGTGTTTAATGTAATCAAGTGCAACTAAATCTATAGGAATGATAGGCCCTTTTTAGGCTTAATATGTGGTACATACAGGAATGAAAATTCGATCTAACAAATAAACTTTGGTAGATAAAGAACCGAAATTATAGTTAGAAATGCTAACCCATCCATAATGGCAGCAGTATCAAAGATACCATGCCCTCTATGAACCATGTGATCATCCATGGGGATCACCATGGCAGCTGTATCAGTTGTGATTCCACCAAAAACGCTCGAGTACATTGCCAAATAAAGCTGCTTGGTGTTGTGACCTTCTCGACTTGTTCTCATCCTCTCAATAACCTTTACAGTGAAAATAAAGATCATTTACTTTTGAGAAGCCCCCTTTATCGATATCAGCTACAAGGTTTATGTGCTCTATGAAGTATTCCCGGTAATTTATCGATTATTCATAGGTACTTTGTGGTTATCATCTTTTAGCATTACACAATGCAGAAACCAGGTTTATCTTTTTTCTTCTTGTCCTATTACTTTCCTTATTTCTAGTGAAAACCAGGATTTGTGATCATACAGGACATGTAAGTTTCGGATAATCTGTTCTGAAGAAGGTGCTAAGAAAGAGAAATGAAGCTTATCAAGACAGACAACAAAGTGGACGATGTAAGAGGGAAGCCAGGTGCATTAAGCTCCTGCTATGCACGGGTCCGGGAAAGGACCGGACTACAAGGGTCTATGGTCTATCGTACAGTCTTACTTTGCATTTCTACAAGAGGTTGTTTCCATAGCTCGAACCCGTGACCACCTGATCACATGGCATTAACTTTAGTAGTAGACTATGTACAACAACAACGTACCAGTGTAGTCCCACAAAGTGGGATCTGGGGAGGGCAGATTATACATAGACCTTACCCCTACCTCAGAGGTAGAGAGGTTGTTTCCCATAGACCCTTAGCTCAAGAAAAACAGTCCAAAAAAAGAAATAATCGAAGTACAAGAAACAACAAATAGTAACAAAACAGTACTACAACATAGCAATATGATAGTCAAAGTACAAGAAACAATAGATAGTAACAGTTTTCGAAGGACAAGAAACTACAAGAGTAAATCCCAAATTACTAGTTTTTGACTTTTGAACCAGCTTAATTCAACCATAAATCAGAAGAATTACTGTTGAAAGGGTGAACAGAACAGACCACCTTTGGAAAATGCCTTGAGCAACCTGAATTTACAAAAGCTAATCTTCTTTTATTTTAAAACCAGTGCCATCAAAGGCGTGCTTAATCCCTAAAACGAGGCTCAAAATGTGTTGAGCGCTTCACCTCACTTAGTGTGCGCTTCAGTGTCGTCGTTAAGGTTCTAAGGCACACTTTTCCTTGTGAATGAGCATCTTCTAAAGAGGCGACACTAAGAAATTGGTATTTCACTTCATCGTAATTTTTCTTCAATTTCTTTGTTCATATACTCGTCATTCAAGCTTATATATTAGTTTTGACTAATAATGTATATTTATATTTTTTTCTCCCTTTGCGCCTTTTTTCATTAAAGTCCATCCTTTATTTGCACTTAAAGCCCCAATAAAGGAGTGCATCTACACGAGTAAGTAGGAACGTATTGGCTTGTCGCACTTACTAGTAGGCATAGTTCTACTTTTTGTAGTTTCTTGTTCATCAATTTAGGTTACTATCAGTTATTTAGTGCGCAGTTCAATTATTGTTATACAACTGTTCTGATACTTCCATTACATCTTTATTTAAAATGTTTTTGTCTTGAGCCGAGTGTCCATCGGAAACATCCATTCTACCTCACCTCGGAGGTAGAGGTAAAGTATTTGTACACTCTAACCTCCCCAAACATCACGCTGTGGGATTACACTGGTCCGTTTAAAAAAGAACATATGTTTCCTTTTCCAGCAACTCTTTAATTCTTACTTTCCACATTTCCACACACTATACAGTTTGGTATATTCTACATATCTTTAGTAACTAAAAACACAATATTCAAAAGCCCTTTTTTTACTTTCTTAAATCCCACGTCAAGTCAAAACCAGACAAACATATCAACTCCACGTCAAGTTAAAACCAGACAAACAAATCGACTCTACGTCAAGTCAAGACCAGACAAACAAATCAATACCACCTCAAATCAAAACCAGACAAACAAATCGAGGGAGAGCTTTCAAGCTCTGACTCAACATGTGATAGGAAAAATGAAGTCTTTCCACAAACATTTAAGATTGAAGAAAAGAAAAGCCAAACCTCTGAGCAAGAAAGAAGTGGAACATCAAAGGTTGGACCATATTGTCCATCTGCCCCACACCAAACAGCTAGCCATGTTAGTACTATCATTAAAAATAAAAAAAAATAAAAAAATCAAGATTTACCAGAGGAAAAAGTTGAGTTCTTGAAAACATTGGATCTGGTTAAAGGTCTAATCTTTGATCTTGAAAATTCCAAATTGCTTAATTTTGGTAGAAAAAATGAAGTTTCTGAGATGGGTTTTGTGAGAGTTGGTAAAGAAGCCATTGTATCTTTAGCTAATTTTACAAATTTTGTGTGAAAAAAGTGGCATAAATAATCATAACTTCTTGAAATAATCAAATGGTTTTGCCAAACAAAACAAAATTTTCATAAAAATAGTAATAAGTGGACTGCAATTGTTATTTACTGTGTCCTTTCTTGGTCATATGTTCTAGAAAAAATATTGTTATTTTTATAACTGTGGTCCGATTCTGCATGTATTTTGACTAATTCTACAAATATGTAAGAATAATTTTTTAGTTGATCCAAAAAAAAATTAAAAAAATTATATATTTAGTAATAATTTAAATTTAAAATATTTATTTTAACCTTAATAAAATGATTATTAGCCACATAAATATCTATCGTTCATTTTAAACCATAAATATAAAAAAAAAAAATATTAAATTTTGTGTCAAGTCAGATTAACTCATATAAATTGAGACAAATAAAGTAACGGCTCAATTCAGTGTTACCGTCATTTTCCACCATTATCAATTGTCGTTATCGTTGCCACAATTATCAACTATGTGTCATCATTTACAACCAACAACTACTATTCCCTGTCATAAATAGTTTTCACATATATAAATTTTATTTTTAAAAAATAAGTAATTATCGAAGCACAAATTATATCAAATAAATTAAAATGAAGAGAGTATTATTTTTCTTTCAGAATTTAACTGCCACAAAATTTAGCGCTTTGAATTAATGATTTTAAGTAGGTGTTTATACCTACGATTTCATCTCGTAATTTAAAATCAATGTTTGAACAATTGATTTTATCTTTTGATTAATTTCGAATTATGAGATGAAATGATCTCAAATTTTCTAAAAATCTTGATTTGAGAATTTTATATTTCATATCGATTTCACATTTATCAAATATAAAAATTGAATGACAAGTTTATATTTTCTATAAAAAAGAAGAAGAGGAAAGACCACCATGTTGTATCTATCGATAATTTATTTCATATGTGTAAATAAAATTTATGGTTGATATTATTATTTTAATCAATCTTTAAATTATTTATATCAAGAAATGCATATTCAACGTGAAAAAAATAGTATGTGAATTAAAAATACCCCTATCCAACTTTTTTTCATACATTAATAAGGATGGTTTCTGTTTGGAGGAAAAAATAATATGACTTTACCCAGGAGAATAACCAAATTGCAAATCATGTAGGTCTAATCTAATGTTGGATGACACATCAAGAATCGAAAAAAAAATAAAGCTAAAAAATTGAGATTATGTTAGAGGAAACTTTGAGTAGGTCAAGATCGAATAGAAAAAAGTAAAATTAATTATAATAATTTTTTATTTTTTTTTGGAATCACCTTTTTCGTAATCAATCTTCCTTTTAGTTGTTTCTCATCCTTTTTGTTCTTCTTTAATTATATGAATAAATATTTGAAAAAAAATTAATTTGATAAATAATTGGCGTACACTCCATGTATAGTTAAGTTATATTCCATTTTTTGAGTGTTTCATATATATAGTCAGTGTATAGCTCATTCATAGATAAGCTATATTTTAGTTTTTTGAATGTATAATCAGTGTAGACTTTCCATGATTCTTGACTATTTTTTATATAAATAAAAATATGACTATATTTATTATAAACGAATTACTTTATTGTATATATTTAAAATTAAACTCCGGATCTTCATTGTAAACTTGGAACTCTTTTCATCGAGAATATTTTATATTTTTTTTGTTTATTACGGAAAAAACAAAACTACAACAACTAATTTACAAAAGACAAAACAAACTATTTCACACAATAATTTAACCTCAAAAATACAAATCATTTGTATTTCTTTGAGTGACGAAAATGGTTACGTAAATTTTTTAGATAATTAATTAATTAATATTTGTGTGAAGAAAATATTGAAATTAAACTCCAGAACTTCATTGTAAACTTGAACTCTTTTCATCGAGAATATTTTATATTTTTTTTGTTTATTACGGAAAAAACAAAACTTCAACAACTAATTTACAAAAGACAAAACAAACTATTTCACACAATAATTTAACCTCTAAAATACAAATCATTTGTATTTCTTTGAGTGACGAAAATGGTTACGTAAAATTTTTAGATAACTAATTAATTAATATTTGTGTGAAGAAAATATTGAATTGACATGAATATCGAGATTTACATGTCTTACCCTTTCAATTATATTTTCCTCTAATGTTTTTTTTCTGACTAATCTTCTATCGATCGGATACTTTCATATCTAAAATCATGCATATCCTTGATATATTACAATTATATCATATTTTGTCTAATTATTTTTCCATATTTTACGATAAGTAATAACACTAACACATATTAATTATTATTTATTATAATATCCTGTGCATAAAAACAGAAGAAGATATATATAGACTCCCTCCCTCCAAGTGTTTATATCACATTAAGATTGGGGTTTTTTTTTTTTTGGGTAGTGGCGGAGGCAGGAATTTCAAGAAGAGGGTCAAAAATTAAATAACAAAAGTTCTTTTTAAAAAGGGGAAAATATTGTTCCATGTGAGATTTGAACACGTGAGCACTGACTCATTAAAGATGTCGAAACATACATTCAAGACATCTTAAAACCACTAGGCTATATAACAACCTATTATGTCAAGGGTGTCCAAAATATGTTATTTAATCACTTCGTATATACTTTTACTTGTATATGCAATATTTTTTTCCAACGAAAGGTGTCCAATTGGACACCCTGGCATACATGTGCCTACGCCATTGTGGGGGTGGGGGGAGGTCTACCTGAAAATGAGACAGAAATGAATGCAAGACTTCGAAAGCTTGCAAGGCTTGAAGCTCATAAATGGATGATTTGAGATCCGTGGGGGGGGGGGGGGTATGAATGATAGTACAGTAATAATAGTACTATTGTATTCACATGTTGTCCATGGTGTCGTTTAAAATCATTGTTAGGTAATGATGAAGAGATTCACTTTGTATAACGACTAATTTGGTGTGATCACGTCATTATCTTAATATCTTATTCTCATTTCGTCTTCATTTATTATTTAATAAATTATATTTTAACTTATTTTTTACTCTACTTTTTCATAGTAGTTTTATCTCATAACCTAATTTTCTCGTAGGTTTATCATCCAAATTATGAAGTGTGACATAAACAACGGAGAACGATGTGTGTTATCCAAATATTGTATTCATTAAAATAATATAGTACTATATAATACAATACAGTATAACACGATACATTATGAATATATATATATATATATATATGATTTTTTTGATTATTAACGACTTCTAATTAAGAATGTTGTAGTATTATAACAATTACTAGATTAAAGTTCAAATTTCTTATTTATTAATTACACAACAACACAAAATCAATTGACCATATTCTATATTGAAAATCAAATACTAAATAATTGAGTAACATTTCGTGACGAAATTAAATAGTTCACTGTATAATTAATATATATATTACAAATTCACTTGTAGAAATTATATCAAAATTTTATACTATAGTATAATTTAAGACACTAATATAAAACTATAGCTAAGATATGTGAGACCAAGGTGGATCCTTTACTATATTCATCTACATAGCTAAGATATATATGTAGATGAATTTACTTTATTGTGGTCCAATAATTAATAACATAGAAATAAATATAATATGATCCAATATATATACAATATATATATATGTGTGTGATTTATAAAAAATCATATTTTTTCATGCCAAAAAATAAAATTTCCAACTTTATAACGTGACTTACATGTTGTTGTTTTTTCTATAAATCACTGCTTGAAACAATTTTATCTTCTCCATATTATTATATCTCGTTTTCGACTTCACCATAATGAATTCAAGCAATCACAGAGTCATTACATGCAAAGGTGAGATTTTAATTTCTCTCTACATGTGTATTATGAATTAAATAAAAAAAATACTAGAAACTTTCTTGTCTGACGATCAAGTCATGAATATAATGATTTCAAATAATGAAGTTAGAAATTTCGTTAAATAAATGCAGGTGCAGTAGTATGGAAGTCTGGAGATGAATTGAAAATAGAAGAAATAGAAGTCGATCCACCAAAATCAACAGAAGTTAGAATTAAAATGATTTATGCTAGTTTATGTGGTACTGATGTTCTTTGTTGCAATGGCTTTCCAAAGGTATATATGGAAATTTCTTTGAAATTATATTTTTTATCGCGAAATAATTAAAAATCGCTATTAATTTCATTTAATCATCAATAACTATAAATTAAAAATTTTAGCGATAAATTTCATAGCTAATAACTATCTGATCTATTGTTGATGATTCTCAGCCTTTGTTCCCTCGCATTCCTGGACATGAAGGAGTTGGGTAAGAATAATTGATTTCTCTCATATATATATTTTTAAATTTAGAAAAATATAAAAGTTCATTGAAATTGCAATAAATAATATATATTTGAACTTAAAA